ACCTTAGCGTGAATAATTATGTACGTAACATTCGGCCCGTGAAAAGTTGTCCGTAATAATTATGACCGATAAGGTAATTACATTAACACAGTTGCACTCGGTTACAATGACCCTGTTATCACATCACATGGTGACATGTGTCACCTTGGTAACATAATACTACAAGACAATACCGCACCTATATATAGGTGCGAAATGAAGTTGACACTCACAGTTAGGGTGAAGAGCAGGTTTAGTTTAAGGGGGGGGGGGGGGGGGGGGGGTTCACCCTGATTTTTTTGTGAAACTTGGTTTCGAGATAGTAGTTGACCAACAAACTAGAACCGGTGACCGAACTTTTGAAGGGGTCCTAGACCCCAACCGCCAAACGGTGCCCGCGGGGCAGCCACGCCCATATTTGGTCCAAATTAGGTCCAATTTAGCCAAATAGCCTGAACATGCCCAAAAACCAGATTTTAGGTGCTTTACTTGTAGTTAGTGGTCCCCTGAACTCGTATAAGAATTTTCATTAATAGTAAGGGGAAAAGTGGCATTCCGTTGGATTTACATGTTCACAAGGATTTAGCAACGGAATATGGTAGTTAGAACCCCTACGAACATAATTAGACTTGTCACCAATTTTGTATCTCGACAGAAACACCACTTTTTACCACTTTTTACCACCTTTGTACCACCTTTCTGGTTTGCCAAATATCTTTAGTTGTGAACGTCGTAGAAGGCTGGAAATTAACCTAGAATGTTTATCTTATCAAGGAGTAAAACTTTTGTACAAAAAATTTTTACATCGGACAATCAGCTAATTGGATAATTACCAATTAGTTAATTACCAAAAAAAGTGAAAAATTTTTATTGGCTCAAAATGATTAAAATCGTTTGAAACACGGAGAAATGTAGTTTTTAGAAAAACTTCAAAACTTTTTCACTTACAAATTTTTTTCGAGACTTGGAAAAATTTCGAAAATTTGAAGAAAAAAAAATTTCCGCCAAAAGTGATAAAATTGCATGAAACGTGGATAAAAATGCTTTGCAGAAAAACTTCGAACCTTTTTAGATTGGGGAATACTAAAATCATCAATATTTGAAGTTGGAGTTCAGTAAATCTCGGCATATTTTAGTAATTAGGAATAGCTTAGCGGAAAGGGCTGAACCTGAAAAACGTTAACCACACAATATTAGAGTTTCATAACTAATTACAATACAGCTTTATCAAATTCCACATAAAGAAACAGCACAAAAGGACCGTTTAAGATCGAACCAATTTTACCTGCTGTATACTATCATTTTATTGATTTCAATGATCAAAACTTCTCTGTACCGTCAATCTTGCCAATCTATACCAGGTATCTGAATGTACCGGACCTCTTCTTTGCCTCTATAACAATTAGACCCAGTTGTGCAAGAAATGCGATTTCTCACAGGGGCTTCTTTTAACTGTGCACCTTTTGTCACTCTCGCAAGAGGCCCGGTATTATAGGGGGGTATAGGAAGTGTAAATATACCTTCCATCATCCACTGTGGCTTTTTTGTGTTGTGAATGCACATGCCGCTTCGTTTGCTATGCAAGATACCTCGAATAACCCGCATATGTCATTGCCAGGGTCGGGACAGAGCTGGAGATAGCATTGAGAGGTTGCTAGAAATAGCTAGACTTAGAATAAACTGGTGGTAGCTGGGTGGTGCTAGCATGGAGGTAGCAGAACGTAGCTACACGGGGTTTCATTGGAGTTGGTTATTTTAATTGCCAAAGAGTGCCGGAACTAAAGTTACTTAAGATTGCAGTTTAGGGGCAGTGCAAACCACGGTGGAGTCAGGGACACAGAGCTACAGTGCAACAGTGCAGGAGTACTGCAAAAGAACAATGCAAGTGATACAGTCTGCAACAGTAAAACGCCGAAGAAGGAGATAAGATTGTGGCTGCAGAAGAGGAGAAGAGCAGGAACCTGATTGTGTTTGGGTTGAAAGAAGAGGAGGAAGAAGAGATTCCTGCTCTGGTAACTGCATTTTTGGAAGAGGTGGGGTGAGAACTTAATTCCAAGCGACACGGTGGGCTGGAACCAATCAGGTACAGCTATCTGACCTATCAAGATCACCGTCCTGAGCTTTGTACCGCTACAATTGACCCCCTAACAATTGACCCCCCGACAATTGACCCCCTATGTAATTACACTGGCGTCAATTGTCGCAAAATCTAGGGCTTAGTACGACAATTGACCCCCCATGTAATTACACTGGAGTCAATTGATCGGGTTAGGGTCAGGGTCCTGGGTCAGGGTTAGGGTTAGGGTTAGGGTTAGGGTTAGGGTTAGGGTTAGGGTTAGGGTCCTGGGTCAGGGTCAGGGTCAGGGTCAGGGTCAGGGTCAGGGTCAGGGTCAGGGTCAGGGTCAGGGTCAGGGTCAGGATTAATTGTATTAAATTATATTTCCGGGGGTCAATTGTCGGAGGTCAATTGTCGGGGGTCAATTGTCGGGGGGTCAATTGTCGCCCACCCCTAAGCTTAACAGCCTTTCATCAGAATTTGATAGCTAGACTTTATTCTAAGTCTAGTTATTTCTAGCAACCTCTCAATGCTATCTCCAGCTCTATCCCGACCCTGGCAATGACATATGCGGGTTATTCGAGGTATCTTGCATAGCAAACGAAGCGGCATGTGCAATGTGCATTCACAACACAAAAAAGCCACAGTGGATGATGGAAGGTATATTTACACTTCCTATACCCCCCTATAATACCGGGCCTCTTGCGGGAGTGACAAAAGGTGCACAGTTAAAAGAAGCCCCTGTGAGAAATCGCATTTCTTGCACAACTGGGTCTAATTGTTATAGAGGCAAAGAAGAGGTCCGGTACATTCAGATACCTGGTATAGATTGGCAAGATTGACGGTACAGAGAAGTTTTGATCATTGAAATCAATAAAATGATAGTATACAGCAGGTAAAATTGGTTCGATCTTAAACGGTCCTTTTGTGCTGTTTCTTTATGTGGAATTTGATAAAGCTATATTGTAATTAGTTATGAAACTCTAATATTGTGTGGTTAACGTTTTTCAGGTTCAGCCCTTTCCGCTAAGCTATTCCTAATTACTAAAATATGCCGAGATTTACTGAACTCCAACTTCAAATATTGATGATTTTAGTATTCCCCAATCTAAAAAGGTTCGAAGTTTTTCTGCAAAGCATTTTTATCCACGTTTCATGCAATTCGATCACTTTTGGCGGAAATTTTTTTTTCAAATTTTCGAAATTTTTCCAAGTCTCGAAAAAAATTTGTGTAAGAGAAAAAGTTTTGAAGTTTTTCTAAAAACTACATTTCTCCGTGTTTCAAACGATTTTAATTATTTTGAGCCAATAAAAATTTTTCACTTTTTTTGGTAATTAACTAATTAGTAATTATCCAATTAGCTGATTGTCCGATGTAAAAATTTTTTGTACAAAAGTTTTACTCCTTGATAAGATAAACATTCTAGGTTAATTTCCAGCCTTCTACGACGTTCACAACTAAAGATATTTGGCAAACTAGAAAGGTGGTACAAAGGTGGTAAAAAGTGGTAAAAAGTGGTGTTTCTGTCGAGATACAAAATTGGTGACAAGTCTAATTATGTTCGTAGGGGTTCTAACTACCATATTCCGTTGCTAAATCCTTGTGAACATTTAAATCCAACGGAACCCTTAAATCGACCACTTTTCCCCTTACTATAAGATTGGACAAAAAAATAACCGAGTTATGAGCCAAAAACCATATGACCATATTTGGGCATACGCACCAAATTTGATCGATTTTGGCCCATAAATTGGTCAAATATCAATATTTTTTAATGAAACCAACTTTATATGGAAGGTAAGCATATACTACACATCCTCTATGATTATCAGCTCAGCATCTACCTAACTGTGGATTCTGTGTTCAAATAATCGCAAAAAATGAACAAAATCGTCCATATCTCAGTTCGCGATATTTGCGAAACTGATTTCGCTCAAAACAATTTTTACATGAAATTTTCGGAATCAATGTAGAATTGCATTTCGACCTTAAGTTTTGTATTGGAATTTTGAGTTAGGCCTTTAAAAAAATTTGGCGGCCATATTCTGAAAAATGCCAGGCAAATTTTGGAAATCAGTTTCGCAAATATCACGAACTGAGATATGGACGATTTTGTTCATTTTTTGCGATTATTTGAACACAGAATCCACAGTTAGGTAGATACTGCGCTGATAATCATAGAGGATGTGTAGTATATGCTTACCTTCCATATAAAGTTGGTTTCATTCAAAAATATTGATATTTGACCAATTTATGGGCCAAAATCGATCAAATTTGGTGCGTATGCCCAAATATGGTCATATGGTTTTTGGCTCCTAACTCGGTCATTTTTTGTCCAATCTTAATGAAAATTCATATACGAGTTCAGGGGACCACTAGCTACAAGTAAAGCACCTAAAATCTCAGTTTTGGGCATTTTCAGGGTATTTGGCTAAATTGGGCCTAATTTGGACAAAATATGGGCGTGGCTGCCCCGCGGGCACCGTTTGGCGGTTGGGGTCCGGGACCCCCTCAAAAGTTTGGTCACCGGTCCTAGTTTGTTGGTCAACTGCTATCTCGAAACAAAGTTTCACAAAAAAATCAGGGTGAACCCCCCCCCCCCCATCCCCCCCCCCCATCCCCCCCCCCCCCCCCCCTTAATGTTAAGAGGATTAAGTTTCATAGTTTGATAATAACAGCTTTACGTGACTTTATAATTAGTTAATTAGTATCAGCATAATCCGAATACCTGAAGTTGGACCTGTTTTAAATTTGGTAACCATACTCGCTTGTTTTCTATTTTCTGGGTTACTGCCGAAACTTTTTTAAAGCTTGTTTCTTCCTGATGTAACCAAAGCGAAAAGCTTTTCAAATAATCACTGAAATTTAGATCTCGAACTTATATCTTTATATTCATTTTGTTTTCTAGTGACGATTGTAACAGTGAAGAGGCAACCTCTCTACGGTCGTTAACGTTTTAGTAAAATGGAGCAGCAGACTGTACCAGACTTTAAAGATGAGATGAGGATGGAAGAAGAAAGTACTTCACCGGAATTGATCAAGACAGAGATTAAGCAGGAGGAAGATAAACTTCTTGTTAAATCAGAAGTGCATTCGAATGCAGTTTCTCAGTTGGATTATCCCAACCAGGAATCAGCATTGCAGTGGGTTCATCCCAATAAAAATGCTCACATTCGCTCTGAATGTTCCTACAATGCAAGATGCAAAGATGAGATGAAGATGGAAGAAGAAAGTACTTCACCGGAATTGATCAAGACAGAGATTAAGCAGGAGGAAGATAAACTTCTTGTTAAATCAGAAGTGCATTCGAATGCAGTTTCTCAGTTGGATTATCCCAACCAGGAATCAGCATTGCAGTGGGTTCATCCCAATAAAAATGCTCACATTCGCTCTGAATGTTCCTACAATGCAAGATGCAAAGATGAGATGAAGATGGAAGAAGAAAGTACTTCACCGGAATTGATCAAGACAGAGATTGAGCAGGAGGAAGATAATTTTCTTGTTAAATCAGAAGTGCATTCGAATGCAGTTTCTCAGTTGGATCATCCCAACCAGGAATCAGCATTGCTTTGCTACCAGTGGGTTCATCCTAATGAAAATGCTCACATTCGCTCTGAATGTTCCTACAATGCAAGCAAAAAAACAGCTTCAGTTTTACATCAGCGGACTCATTCCGAAGAAAAACCGTATAAATGCTCTGAATGTTCCTACAGTGCGAGCGTAAAACAAATCTTAGTTCGCCATCAGATGACTCATACCGGTAAAAAACCATATAAATGCTCTGAATGTTCCTACAGTGCAAGCCAAAAATCACACCTAGTTCGCCATCAGACAACTCATACCGGTGAAAAACCGTTCAAATGCTCTGAATGTTCCTACAGTACAAGCGTAAAACAAATCTTAGTTCGCCATCAGATGACTCATACCGGTGAAAAACCATATAAATGCTCTGAATGTTCCTACAGTTCAATCCAAAAATCACACCTAGTTCGCCATCAGTGGTCTCATACCGGCGAAAAACCGTTTAAATGCTCTGAATGTTCCTTTAGTACTGGCTGGAAATCAGCCCTGGTTTCCCATCAGATGGTTCACACCGGTGAAAAACAGTATAAATGCTCTGAATGTTCCTACAGTTCAAGCCGAAAATCACACCTAATTAACCATCAGATGACTCATACCGGTGAAAAACAGTATAAATGCTCTGAATGTTCCTACAGTGCTCACTGGAAATCAACCCTGATTTTCCATCAGCGGACTCATACCGGTAAAAAACCGTTTAAATGCTCTGAATGTTCCTACAGTTTAAACCGAAAATCAAACCTAGTTAACCATCAAATGACTCATACCAGTGAAAAACCGTACAAATGCTCTGAATGTTCCTACAGTTCAGGCCGAAAATCACACCTAATTAACCATCAGAACACGCATACCAGTGAAAAACAGTATAAATGCTTTGAATGTCCCTTTAGTACTGGCTGGAAATCAGCCCTGGCTTGCCATCAGATGACTCATACCGGTGAAAAACAGTATAAATGCTTTGAATGTTCCTACAGGTCAAACCGAAAATCAAACCTAGTTTACCATCAGATAAATCATACCAGAGAAAGCCCGTATAAATGCTCTGAATGTTCCTACAGTACAAACCGAAAATCAAGCCTAGTTAACCATCAGATGGCTCATACATACTTTGCTTGCGCGGTTTTGCAACGCCTTTGTTCCTCTGTAAAATGCTAACAGTAACAATTTTAATCGACCAGCCCTCCACAACCTGGAGAAGGAGACCGCCAAGAGGAACTCTGTTTATGCCTAGTGATTCAGCTAAGTCAAACTATCATAATATGCACTACCGAAGTTTACACAATGATACTCGTTTTGAAGATTACTTAAAGCTCTCAGACCAGTTTCCCACCCCCAGTGGTTACAGAGCTCAGTCGACTAAAGCCGGGAAGAACAAGCACAGCACTACAGAACTAGCCGGACAGAACACAGGAAACTGCACACACAGTGCAGAACTGATTGTGATAACACGAAGTCCCGACAAGATGACGGAGGACACTGCAATTACATCCACAAACACTACAAACTACTTGAACTTCCGGGCAGCCCCACTAAATACAAACACTAACTTGAACTTCCGGGCAGCCCTTTTGAATATGTTAAATGCGAATGTGTACTTGAAATCATACTGTATATTAATATATATACATATCACCGGAGACTCGCGGGCGGAACAAAATATTGCACGCGCACGCGCGTGCAATATTTCATATGTCCCCGAGGGCGCTAGCCCGAGGAGGACATATTTTCGTATAGCACGGAGGGCCCATCGGGCCCGAGTGCTATACGATTTTTCCGCCCGCGGGTCGAGGTGATGTGGATTATATCCACCAGCGGGCGTATTACAGTTAATATATAATTTTATAAATAAACAATGGAGCTTGTATAAAAGTCAACTCTAGAAAAGGTCGCCACTAATTGTTGTAACCATGGTAACACGTCACGTGTTCAATGTAAGCCAATCATAAAGGGATGTGTCGTATATATAGGGGCTGGAGATGCACTGCATTCCTGGGCCGTGGGAATAATGAATGTAATGTCAGTGACGATGAATATCAATAATATAGGGGGATTATAGTGCTGATGTGTATTATGTAGTGTGTTATAATAACTTTGATATAAATCAAAGTATCATGTCATCTGCTCACGAGCTGCATGAGCAGCCCTACCGGACACAAAAATAAAATGTATTATATAGTTGCAGTGTAATAAGGAATTTCACATGGAGACGATACAGAAACTGAAAATATTTTAGAGAACTCCGGGCTATATTGCTACTAGTCAAATTAAATGTCACTTGTTAGCGGGCTATATCATGAGCGGGCTGTAGAGATATCGGGCCCTTTGACAGCGGGCTGGTGAGAGCCCGCTATGCGAAAAAGCGCACGCTGGTGGATATATATACATATCACCGGAGACTCGCGGGCGGAACAAAATATTGCACGCGCACGCGCGTGCAATATTTCATAGGATACAAGGATACAAGGATACAAGGATACAAAAGTGATAATTATTTTATTGAGTTCACAATAGTTATAATTCTGAAATAATTTAAGTTACACACTTCTAATCATTTACAAATGTGTAGGGATAAAATAGAAATGTTATAATATAATGCTATTTTCTTTAAGTAAATCAAATTTGTATGGTTCATGAGTTTATTTTGATTAACTAGAGCATTATGCACTTGCCAGTATTTGAGTGGAAATCTGGGCTCTTATAATAGGCTGTATATTGTTCGTTCACAGAGAGAATTGAATGGATTGCTCTTGCTGTGGCAGTAAATTTGGTAGGATCTAGATTTTTGTTGGAGAGCAGACCGGCTAGGTCAGTGATGTTTTGGGGATAAAAGTTGAATTTTTCCCTAACTGAGGAGTAAAGCAAACAGTCAATTAATACATGGCTTTCGTCCTCGATAGGTTTGAGCCCTTTACTGAAAAAGCAGTAAGTGCACCAACGTTCTTCTCTTGGTACAAGAGGGGTTTCGTATCTGCCCCTTTCAACGTAGAGGTTGTGGCAGCTGATACGAAACCTTGTCAAGCTTTTTCGAAAATCAGGTACTTTGATTATTCGTAGGTATGCCTCTGGTTCAAAATCATGTTTAATTAAGTTATAGAATTCTAGTTTTGTAGTACAGTCAAATCCGTCTTTTTGTCGGACAAAATTCGCAACAAAGCGATTTTAACGGGATATGGTCGGGACAGGTCCCAGGAATCATTCCAGAGAGTTCCCAAAATCCTCGACTTCAGGAAAATCCACAGTTACCACTTTTTTACCACCTTTTTACCACTTTGGTTTTCCGCAAATAAGTCACGTTCTGAATATCCTAGAAGATTCTAGTTTAAAGCATTGTGTTTAGAAAACAAAGAAGAACAACTTTTTCTTTAACAACTTTTTCAAAAATAAATTATTTAATTAATTAATTAAATAATTAATAAATTTTCAAATATTTCAAAAATAAATTTTCATAAAAAATGTTCACAGTTACATTCCACGTATATTGAACTAATTTTTATGAAAATTTTCACTTACAATATTTTGGACTTGTAAAATTTTCGAAATTTGTAAATAAAAACCACTATTTACCACTTTTTACCACATCGAATCTCCGCTAATAAAACGACTTCTGAATGTCGTAGAAGGTTCTAGATTGAACCAATGTGTTAAAAATATAAAAGAGAACAACTTTTTATTCGACAACCTTTGGATTAGATAATTAATTAATTAGTTAATTCGATTATTAAACAAATATTCAAAAATTATACAAATTATTTTTGATCAAAATATTTTAAAATTACATATCACGAATAATTAACAAATTTTCATTAATTTAATCGGGAAATCGAAGTAGTACTTTATATAACCATATATACTAGATAAGAGTCTAACTTATGAGTCCTCAGCTGGCACATTGGTGCAATTGGATCCTGACATTTGAGGAAGGTTGATCCACAATGTATTCCTGCTTTTCTGCATGAACAAGCATTGCCACAACCTGACTTTAAACAGTTGCAACTGATTTTTTGAATGAGCTTTTTCGGAGCTGTACTCATAAGAGTGGTCACTGGTACATGTGTCCCATTGTTCTGAATAATTTGTTCATCTTCCATCCCCAGCTTATCGGATCTAGGTCATTCTCATCCCACGCCTGCAGCTGATGGTAAACACGATAATAATGTTGTTCAGCTGCCCCAGATGTTGGCAGGAGCTGTTCGCACTTGATGTCTGCTGTTAAAGATTGCGACTTCTGTTCAAGACCTGAAAGTCTAGCTTCATCTAGTGATCTCTTGGTGGTGAGAAACAGTAGGTGGTCAAATGCAAAGTGTTTTGTCATGTGCAGTAAAATGACAAGCAAATCAGTATCATCACCAATTACAGAAACATCAACTTGATTAGACCTGTAGACCACTCAACTGCCTCTCTGCAAATCAAAACATCTGCAAAACGATGTGCGAAACGGATTGAAAATGACGAAGTTATCAAGCAATTTGTTTATCTCGTTAGCGAAATTGATTGGGTTATCAATGATTACCTAATCGCTTATCAAGTGACAGGGTGCTACGATACCGTAATTGGGCTTTCTGCACGATTTCTGTGCCACGCTTTCACTGGATCAGACACCACCAGTCGGATCCACGGAGTTGGTAAGGATCGGCTATTCAGAACGATTCCGATAGTGGGAATCTAGTGCACTAAGCTACGGAGAAAGTCACGTGACATTTTTGGGCGAGCGAATTAGTAACTTAGTAAGAGCCTAACGTATGTGTACTATACCAACTTACCCTGTCTGTAATCCGGTTTGAGGATTCATCATTTGGTGCGATCTCTACGTTACAGAATGAAAATTTGTTTAAACTGTGTTCGTGGACTAAAGATGGTCCTGCCTCATTTACAACGGACTCCTCTTCATTGGCCGATATAATAGTTAATAGCACTATGTTTACAGTATGCACTGAAGGGGTATCCTAGGAAGTTTCTTGAACTTTTAACAGGTACCCCTCCTCATTTAACCCTCAATTAAGTTTCCTATCATTCGGTTGAGTCGACCGTTGAGATCGCATAGATCCAATGGATCCTTAGCTACTCCCTAGACTAGGTGACACTGGGATTCGAACCCTGAACCTTCTGCGCAGAAGGCGGATGCTCTAACCGCTAGGCTAGATATGAATCTTTGGAACTGGTCTATGGTCACTGTCTGCAATAATACACACAAGACGTCACTCTGAGCTGAATCAGTCATGCCGTTGTACTGCCGTTTAATTTCGTTCAGTGACCAGGGGTTGTTGATCCAACCTGTGGTGCGTTGATTTGTTTATTTATACAAGGTATAAGAGGCGTCAGGATAAAGAATAGGACCTCTTAAAGCTATTCACCGAAACTAACTCCTTATTTGCCTGGTGAATTAAAACATTGTATTGGTTAAAAATGCCTCTAGTTGCGCTCTCCGCTGAAATCAAACTTAAAAGTAAAACGGTAAAAACATATTACTATTATTGTATATTAATTGACAGCTACTAACATAGAATCTGCACGCGTACAGTATCAGGCACACGATGTGTTCTTCTTTTGTCAAAATATTAACTATTTCGTGTGATTTTAGTCCTCGATTTTTAGCAGATTCAACTTTTTTAGGAAGAGAAGCAAACAAACCAGTTTAAAAATTCAGTTAAGCACAACACTAAGTCGAGAGATATGATGTGTAAATAGTTATAAGCTATAATAGTATCGTACAAATTTGGATATTTTACCGTTTATTCCATTTATCTGGATTTTTTAAATCTGTTATCTTATCTATGTGACGGTGTATGTTCTGTTATTTAAGTAAATTCATTTTACGTTTTACGTCACGGCAAATGTTTTTGATAAAAATTATATTTTGAAATTTTTAAAAATTTAATTATTATTTAATTAATAAATCAATTAATTATCTAATCCAAAGATTGTCAGATAAAAAGTTGTTATCTTTTATATTTTGAACACATTGGTTCAATCTAGAACCTTCTGCGACATTCAGAAGTCGTTTTATTAGCGGAGATTCAATGTGGTAAAAAGTGGTAAATAATTGGTTTTTCTTAACAAATTTCGAAAATTTTACAAGTCCAAAATATTGTAAGTCCAAAATTTTCAAAATTTTCATAAAAATTAGTTCAATATACGTGGAATGTAATTGTGAACATTCTTTATGAAAATGTATTTTTGAAATATTTGAAAATTTATTAATTATTTAATTAATTAATTAAATAATTTATTTTTGAAAAAGTTGTTAAAGAAAAAGTTGTTCTTCTTTGTTTTCTAAACACAATGCTTTAAACTAAAATCTTCTAGGATATTCAGAACGTGACTTATTTGCGGAAAACCAAAGTGGTAAAAAGGTGGTAAAAAAGTGGTAATTGTGGATTTTCCTGAAGTCGAGGATTTTGGGAACTCTCTGGAATGATTCCTGGGACCTGTCCCGACCATATCCCGTTAAAATCGCTTTGTTGCGAATTTTGTCCGACAAAGGCTTAAATTAGGACGGATTTGACTGTACTATTGGTGAGGAGGCCTTGGCAGATTTCCAGGTATTCACGAATTCTT